TATTGTCTATCTTTTGTTGAGAATGATAAGTGGTCATGTGTTACTAGACCCGCTCCGTACTGTCAGCTCCGTACTGTCAGAATATATCCCTCCTTCTCCAAAGAGGACGTGATTTTTTTTATTGCAGCACAGCAGCAAATCCAACCCACAGCCCCATGCCCCGTCCCAGTCCAGGACGCGGTGGAAGACTAACTTGAACCCCCACCCAAGAATTCCTGATTTCACACAGGATGAGGGAACCTTTTCTGCTGGAGGATTAAAAGAGATATCGGGGTCCCTATTAGTAGACTTGGCAAATAAAGCAGGAATAGATAAAAATTTTCAGTCCTGGAAGGGCAGGTAGAACCAGACACAGGGTAGCAACACAAACCAAGCAATATCCATTTCTCACTGTAGGAGATACGTTATTAGTTAAATGTTTAGAAATAGAGGACATTGACTGTGTTACAAAACATTGTTCTGTTGGTGTTTGACATTCCATCTTTTTTACAGCCATACCGTCTGATGCTGAATGTTTTTCAGTAATTAATTTAGCAAATGCATTTTTTAGCGTCCTTGTTGATGCAGAGACACAGCCCATTTTTGTTTTCTGTTTAATGTCTCAGGGTTTTTTGTAGATTTTTCTGTAGTCTACTCAACTGTTCTCCAGGTCACTCTGAGGGAGTGGACACCGGACTATGGGTCAGTCCTGCTGCAGTACGCGGATATCATCTGCCTCTGCAGTCTCACTAAGGGGGCCGGCCTGAGGGATGGGGAGAGTTTGTTGAAATGTTTTTTTGAAGGTGGACACAAAGTGTCAAAGAAAAAACTACAATGGTGTAAAAGCAAGTGTTAAATATCTGGGTTTTGTGTTTACAAAAGGAGGAAAGGAAAGTCAGTCAAAGAGAGCTGTGGCTCTCCTGAAACTTGCCCGCCCACAAACCAAGAAAGACATGCTCTCCTTTCTTGGAGCCATTGGTTACTGCCCGCCAGTGGGGATACCTGACTGTTCCTATTATGATAAGTCACAACCCAGAAAAATGTCAGAAATTGTTAAGTGGTCAGATGACATGGTTGATGCATATGTGTATTTGAAAAATGCAATGGTAACTGCCCCAGGCCTTAGCCTTCCTGACTATGTAAAAATGTTTCATGTGTATGCAAGGGACAATTGTAAGACCATGGCTGGTGTACTCGCCCAAGAGCATGGAGGCAGACTTTGCCCTGTAGCTTTTTTCTCAAAAATGGTGCCAGTTCAGGTCCAAGGCATGCCTGCAGGTCTCAAAGTGTTGGCATTTTACGTTATGACTGTGGAAATGTCTATGTCATTCACCTTAGGACACCCTATGATATTGCACACACTACACATAATGTAGCTATTTTACTAAGAAATATACACACTCAGCACATGTCCTCCCAACAACTCAGCGGATATGAGGTTATCTTGATGAGCAACCCCATGTTGCATATCAAGTATAGCGCAAACAACTCAGGTCCAGCAATGATCCTAAACGCATTGTTGGGTCTCAAATTGTCAAACGATCTGGGATTCGAGGCTCATGACTGTCTCAAATCCATTGAGGCTAATATTTCACCCAGACTAGATTTATCAAAGATTCCAATCCTAAATGCTGATGTTGTTTTCATAGATGGCTCCTGCACTAGGCCAAATGACAAATCCCTTTTCAATCAGCCCAGGCTGCTGAATTGATTGTTTTCACTAAAGCATGTGAACTGTACAAAGATCAGTCTGTCACTATTTACACGGATTCTAATATGCCTATGGAACAGTGTATGACCATGGTGTATTATGGTTTCTCAGAGGCTACATAGGAGCTGATGGGAAAAGGATTGCCCATTCCCAACTAGTAGCCAATTTGCTCAAGGCTCTCACACTTCCCAAGGAATTTGCTGTCATACACTACAGAGCACATACCAAAGGGGACGATGATATAACAAAAGGTAACGCTCTAATCAGATTATGAAGAAAAAAAGGTAGCTCAGTAATAATTTGTTTTACTGCAGATGCCCACTTTATGCCCCATCTTCCCAGATGATTTTTAATTGATCACAACTTTGTAGCAGTCAGTTTTCACAAAGGAGCTCGAAGACTGGTGCTACCCTATTTTGCAGAAGAATCCAAGGACTGGATTAATCTGCAAAGAGGGGAAACCATGCATCCCACGGTGTAGCGCCCTGATATACATTGCACAATACCATAGGATAGGACATATAGGATGGAAGGCAACCCTAAAACAACTCCAAAAAGATTTCTATATCACAGGAATGGTAGAGTTAGTACAAAATTATGTGAAAAGATGCATCACATGTATCAGGAGTAACCCAAACAACCCAAATAAAGCCATGCATCAACACCTGCCTTACCCCACAACACTTTTACACATCTTTTTCAAATTGACTTTACACACATACCCCAAACAAAAGGGAAGACAACAACCAGCTTGTGTGGTCACAAATGTGTTTTCCCGATGGCAAGAAATGTATCCCACAAAAAGAGAACGATATTATCCGCAAGTTTCCGTCTTTTTTACAGGAAAATACCTACACGTTCCAGGCCGGAGATCGTATTGTGGTGAAACAGCTGACGAGAAACAAGAAACAGCAGAATTTCGCCTATGGACCAGAAACTACGGTTGTAGCAGTAACCAGAACAGCAGTCCTCACTGAACATAGTTCCATCTGGATCCATGCTTCCAGAGCGAAGCTGGTCAAGAAAGGACCAGACCCAAGGGAAACAGGAAAGGAGGTACTAACGGGGGCAGAAAGCCCTGACCTTGAACAGGACAATCAAGGAAAGGGGGTATTAACGGGGGGTAGAAAACCCTGACCCTGAAGAAGATGAACTGTTTCCCCAATTTTGGACCATGGTTCTGCCACTTTCTCCTGATCATACTGATTTTGTTGGCACCTAGCCATGGTGAAGTGGTGATAATACAGGACTCAGGCCACACCATATTGTGGTATAATTCATCAAATACTGAGGTTGCCACCTTTATTATTGATTACCGCCAAATTGTACAATGTTCCCATAACTCCCACTTACTCTGGTTGTATAATATGTATCATACTGCACATGATGTTAGCCATGTATATATAGATGCCATAGGGATACCAAGAGGGGTTCCAGACAAGTTTAAGGTCAAAAACCAAGCAGCAGCAGGATTTGAGTCTACATTTTTCATTGTCACCGTAAATAAGAACATTGATGGATAAATTATATTTAATACAATCAAAAAAGATTTGTTAATTATACTAGGGATGTCCTAAAGGGAATTGCTGAACAATTAGAAGCCATTTCACAGATGACATTCTAGAACAGAATGGCCCTAGATATGATCCTAGCTGAGAAGAGTGGTACATGCAAAATACATAGACATGGTGGACATTTGTTGCATTTACATTCTAAACAACACAGGCCCAAATGGCAAAGTCATATTAGCCATAAAGAAACTTGAAGACTTGTCTATAGAGTTTAAGAAGAACTCCAGCTTAGACAACTTTTGGGATCAGTATTTTAAGTGGTTCACTAGCTGGAAACAGACACTAGTACAGCTTGCTATTGTTATCCTGATTATATTGATTACCATAGGTTTTGTGGTTTGCTACATCTTCCCGTGTATTAAGAAGCTTATGAACAAAGGTATAGGTATAACTATGTATGAAGAAGAGATCTAAAAACAAACTGCCCCACTGAACCCAAAACCTAAAGAGTACCACAATTATCTAGCAAAATATAAAAAGAAGCAGAAAAAGAACTATGTTGTATAAGGGAGAATAAAAATCATATATGTAAATAATGATTTTAAGAGGGGATTGAAGGGAAATGTATGTCTTTTAGGTCTGTCATTTTGTTTTTCCCACTCCATTTTATATTCCATGTTGATTAATTGTTTTGTATTATAACCAGAATGAGTTAATGAAAATATGCTATGTCAGTTATGTATTACAAAACTATACTCACAAAATTCTTCTATCTTTTATCTTAGCTTAGCCTTGGTAGAGACGGAGATAGTATCCAATTTATTTCTTTGTATTAACAAGCACCTGTTTCTGTTATGATACAATTAAATGTCAAATATTTCTGTTCCATGAGAAAATAATTTTTGTTACTTATAACTAATTACAAATGCCTGAGAAAGATCATGTTCACAGCCTTGAAAAGTATCTAGCGAGATTCTATTGTATGTAGCAGATAAGTTTTTATGTAATATTATAGACATTCCTTATTCTTGGGAAAATTAAATTTTGCTTCTCATCATTATTCAGGATTGACGTAAATGCTTGTATTCCCACTTGCACATTATATTGTACTATATAAGAGAGCTTTCGTTGTGGAATAAATTAGAAGTTTTTGGTTACTTACAAGACGGTCTCATGTGTGATTACTTGTAACCAATGCTTCTCCAGGCCTGAGGAGACAGAACGAGTGACAGAGAACTTAGACCAGGGGTCTAAGGGTCGATAGAACCAACATTGGTTATCAGTGGAAGCTTTGTTCAAACCATACCATATCTCAGGAAACCACCTAGACTATCTCCAGTTTAAGTTCCTGTTAGAAACGTTAGGGTTCTTTTTTTTTGTGTACAGGTCAGTTCAGGTCATTTTCTGAACAATTATTTCAAATATGAAGAGTTTTCTGTAATTGTTTATTTAAGCAGACAGTTTTGTCAGTATATCTGGTGAACTTCACTCACTCGGGATAACCCAGCAACTCAAGAAGCTCTTTACAATCCTATGTAAACAATCAATAGATTGCATGCTAGGAATGCTTGTTGGGCCACATGGCAAAGATGCACACACTTCTTGGGGATTTACACAGCATACCTTCCTGTAGTTAACCTAAACGTTACAGTGTTACTAAACCCACAACAGTAAAATCAGTCTGTATAGGCAGTAAAGCATGCTTGTTATACTCACTGTGGAGCCTAAGGGTTTAATCCGCATTGTGTAAAAAGGCTGCTTGGTCCTGTTTTCTCTGCCCCTCCTTTTGTTCAAATGTCCACCTGATAAGACAGACTGAGCCCCTAGTCACATGCACATGCTCAGTTTGGTGTGTATTGCTAGAGAGGTTTTTTTTTTTTTCTTGGGGGAGTGCATGTGATCAGCACAGGGCTAATCAGCACTGTCCAGACAGAGGTCAGGGGTTTTGCATCCTCCTAGAGCAGAAAGAAAACTCCTACTACAAGCTTTAACCAGTGCTCTGCTGAAGTCACAAGACTGCTGTAACTGCTGATGAGAAAAGGTATTTAGCAGTTTATATTTACTAAAATAATTGTATTTCCATGTTGTGTCTACTGTGGGAGACCAGATATAGTGAATGCAGGGTCTGGGGAGACCGGATATAGTGAATTCAGGGTCCGGGGAGACCAGATATAGTGAATGCAGGGTCTGGGGTGACCGGATATAGTGAATTCAGGGTCCGGGGAGACCAGATATAGTGAATACAGGGTCTGGGTAGACCAGATATAATGAATGCAGAGTCCGGGGAGACCAGCTATAGTGAATGCAGGGTCCGGGGGGACCAGATATAGTGAATGCGAGGTCTGGGGAGAGTGGATATAGTGAATTCATGGTCTGAAGAGAGTGGATATAGTGAATGCAGGGTCCGGGGAGACTGGATATAGTGAATGCAGGGTCCGGGGAGACCAGATATAGTGAATGCAGGGTCCGGGGAGAGTGGATATAGTGAATGCGGGGTCCGGGGAGAGCGGATATAGTGAATGCAGGGTCTGGGGAGAGTGGATATAGTGAATTCATGGGTTTAGTAGCACTTTTAATAATGAAGTCTTCTGTCTTGTTTCTGTTTGTTTTTTTTACACCCACACTCCACATATATGTCTCCATGGACAGCTGAGGTTTTTGTGCTGAAAGCTTGCTTGCTGAGCGCTCCCATCACAGTGACCAAGCTGTCATAAACAGCTTCTGGTCTGTAATAATGATCTAGAGCTGGTAGGATGGACTACCAATCATGTGACCATGTATCAGCCAGTCACAATGGTTCCATGATCAGGCACACAGTTCTACCCCCTAGGCATAAAGACCCAGTTAAAAGGACTCCGGGCCAATAAGAGGTTAAATATACCAAAATAATTTTTTAAGTATCTGTTCAAGAAGTGTACAAAAACTGTTAATCTTGTTAAAAATCCAGTGCTGTCCTGTATTCTATGCATTATGCAGTTATCTCAAGTAGTATAAACAGCCTGTCTAGTTCTCTGTGTGGATTACAAAACACCACCCGCTTGTGTTATGGAGATGAGGAGAGGAGGTTTTCTATAGTCCTAACACACATCTGGTCCATAGGTGACAACATCACTCCTCCATCAGTACAGTAAATGAATGTTGTCACCCTAGGGCAGGGGTGTCAAACTGCTGTTGCCAAACTACAATTTCCATGAGGCATTGCAAGATTGACTGTTACAAGCATGACTCTTAAAGGCAGAGGCATGATGGGACTTGTGGTTTCACAACAGCTGGAGGGCCACCAGTTTGACATCCTTGCCCTAAAGCAGAAATTATGTTACTTGAAGGATCACTGGGAGAAAGAAAAGGAGATAAAGCATGAAAATAGAAAATGAATTATATAGATATACTAAATATAAATTTAATTACACCTTTTAATCAATGACAGTTCATTTTTCTGGTTTTTCAGGTTTGAGCTTTCAGGGCTTTACCCCCTTCTTCTAGGTCCAAGCAGTACTGAGAACTCACAATGTAAATTGCAGCACTAGAAGTGAGACTGCAGCTTCCACCATTCACATGAACAGAAAGCAGCAAGGCGACTTCCAATCATGAAACACTGTGACCAGAACTCAAATAATCAATTTGAAGGGAGGAGTCCACCGCCACCAAACCCGCCAGGTGAAAACTTACCATATAGAACCTCACAGCATAAAAAAGTGAATATGCATTCAGAAGATCCTCATGACTGAAATACGGGAATCCTGGATCCTCAATCCTCCTCCATTTCAGAGTGATGGATGTTGTAGAAAACACTCTCGGTCACAACAGAACATAAAACAGAGGAAGCCTGAATGGTGTATTATCCTTTCAATAAAAACCGTAGATTATAAAAACATTCATAAAAAGCCAGATTAACTCACATGGAAAGCTTTCATTTTTAACTGGCCAACAACATGCGGCGTCAATAGGCTAAACTCTTCCCAATGCATTTTGTCTTATGGGACGTCATCATGGGCTGTTTTCAGCTAGAGGTTTTGGTGGAAATGGTGTCCTCCTTTCACTTATAACTGTATGAGTTCTAGTCACAGTCTTACATATTTGGAGGTTGCTTTGTTCCTTTCTCTGAGTGTGAACAGTGAAAGCTACAGTGCGACTTCCATCACCGAAATTTACATTGTGATTTGAATGAGAACTACTTGAATTGTTGTTTTTGTGAACTGCTTTAGTGGAAGAGACTTAGGCTCCATGTACACCATGTACATGTACACTGCAGCTGATAAACTCAAATTTAGGAGCTTTTCTGCATTTATTTCAGCAGCCCCTGAACTCTCCCTAATGTTTTCCTATGTGTCCATGTACACATCGTCGTTTACAGGCAGTTGATGTTACAGTCGTTTTTTTGAACGCACCAAACTTGCATTCAGGAGTAGATTTTATCAGCGTATCAAACACCAAATGCTTGTAAACGTGGCTAACTGTGTTTATAAGCGTTTGCGTTTGGAAAATTTTTTCAACTCTTCCATTTCTAGATGCTGTCCAGAGCCTTTTTTCATCATGAAAAATGCATGCAAAGCGTTTTTCCCGGTACTCAAATGGACCCGGTACACCATACTTTGAGGTTTTGCATGAAAGAAAATATGTTAGACACTGCTGCAATAATTTGTGCACAGAGATGAGCTGGAACACATCCAAACAGCACAAAAAAAAACACAGCTAATCTCAACAAATACTGCTCTCTCTGCTTCTGCTCTCTCTATTTCTCTCAAAATGTCTGAAATAATTTTTACTGTTTTTCAGTGCATTCTGGGCATTTTGAAAGGTCTCCTGAGGTTATCTTTGACCTCCCTGGCGGTATTCCCGAGTGTAGCTCAGGGTAAAATTTCAGTACCAAAAGCGGTACCCCCAAGCTACACTCGGGCTTACCATGCGGCGTTGCTCAGGGATTCCCTGCAGCGCTTACCTTGTCCTTCGCTCCCGCAATGCGTCCCCTGCAGCGTCCCCGGCCATCTCCTCCGGCTGATGCTGGCATCTGGCTTCCGTGTTCTGGTCCCTGCGAGCGTCGGAACGTACGGGGGCCGGAACCGGCGGCAAATTTAAAAATTTTAGAAACTGTCATTTTCTAATAAACGAATATGACATAGTAAAACATTACTGTTTCAAAGCATTTCACATACATTTTGTCTCTACTGCTTTGTCCTGTGCCCTGCCTGCATTTTTACTGTTCTTTCTGCCTGGAAACTTAGAAATGTCCATGGCGTCCAAAAAGCGTCGCTTTAGGTCAAAAGTGGTTTTAGACCAGCTAGAGAACAGCGATAGTAAATCAGAACCACTTTCAGAATTGAGTGATAATGATTCATGGGGAAATTCGTCATCAGACACTGAAAACGATTTTGCAACTTGGCGCTCTATTTCAAATTTCAGTGTTTTTGGTTTGATTATATTATTGAATTAAAATTATTATTATATTATTATTTTTTATAATTATTTATTAAATTATAATTTATGATTTCGTGTTTCAAGTTTTATCATACCCAGGATGTTTACTAGACTCTTGTTCGGACAGATTTCAGTGAGTTATTACAGCCTACAATATAAAACGCCAAATTTCCATGCATAATAATGGTACTGCTTTCAGCACCAAAAATCTGAAATAATCATACCGCTAGGGAGGTTAAAAAACACTTCTAAACTCAAACACTCATAAACGCGGTATGCAAACGCGGCTAAACAGACGTTTTGTAACCCTACGTTTTCCAGCAGTCAGTTTCCATCGTTCAGAAGTGTTCCGTGTACGTGGAGCCGTAGAAGAGACTGCATACTAGCACAGACTGTTTTGTTTAAATTTATAGTACTCAGACTTAGATAGTGCAAAAAAAAAAAAAAAAAATCACATACAGTACTCAACTGTGTTGTTGCAAGTGCACTAATAATGCTACAACCACCCTCAGCAAAGAACAAACAGACCCTCAAACAGTCATATTATCCATATATTATATCAATGATTTACTATATGGCCAAATGTACTGTAAGTAGACACTCCTCCATGTTATTATGTTCAACTTTTTCTAGTGAAGGGTACTGTAAAGACTACAGTGCATAAGCATATTTTAGATGATTGTGCACCTTGTGGTAACAGTTTGGGGAGGGTCCTTTTCTGTTTCAGCATGACTATGCCCCTGTGCACAAAGCCAACTGCATAAAGTCATGGTTTGGTCATTTTGGAGTGGAGGAACTTCAGTGGTTTGCACACAACCCTGATCTCATAACCATTGAACTCCTTTGAGATGAATTGGACTCCAGACACTCAAGAGAGGGGGGTCACACCAGGTGGGTACTGTTTCCATAAAAAAAAGCTAGTGTACAGAATAGTCCACCTGGTTTCATGATTTGTACAACATTAGCTGACGCAATAAAAACTAGGCCACTTTGCAAGTAAAACCATTACAGTATGACTGTGAAGGTTCTCATTTATCCAGGTCATGGTCTAGCCAGTAGTGGTTAGTCACATTCCCCTGGACTTGTTCTGAAATGTTGAAGATTTGAGTCTCATCAAGCCACTCCTTTGGTTCCCATGAGTATCAGAAGATACCTCAGCATTTATATCCACACAGATAGCACAGACACCTTAATCCAATCACTATGGAATGTGTAGAAGTTGATTGACCAAAAAAAGGATGTGAGGTGGAAAAGTGGTGGAACCACTCTGTTCTAGTTACACAATCCCATCCTTGATCCCATCCTTGGTCTCTGCATAGTTGTTATTTCTGTGAGTTACCTTGCTAAAGGCATGAATTGTTATGTAGTCTGAGAGAACTTGACAGGCCTGACAACACTGCTAGGGATTTCAGTACAGCACAGGCACTTTGTCATCAGCTCAAACAGGAAATTAGGAGCACATATTGGGTCTCTACCAGATGAACAGGTATTTCTCTGTATTTACTGTATTTTTTCTGTGGTTGTAAAGGATAAAACATGGATAAATGTACAGTATATATATTACATAGATATACTACCTATGTTTTTGTTTATGTCGCCCTGTATGGGACGTCTGTGTGATGAGGCCTAAGAGTGGGAGAGTGAAGGGCAGCACTCTGAGCCAATCAGGATCTATTGCTTTCCATGTAACCCACATGGAAGAAAAATATATTTTAAATGTATTTGAAAAATATTCTTCCCAAATATATTGACATATATTCGAAATACTACAATTTTGGCCATATTCAATATATTTCAATATATATATATATATATATATATATACTGCATGTTGAAATGTGTTTTTTATATATTACAATATATCTGAAAAATATTTTTATAAAAATGTATATTTTTTTAAATATAT